TAAGAGCCTGGTTTTACCTTATGTGTAACTCTTCTGATAAAAACCAGGTCTGACTTTTTTTTTCTTGTTGCTCTGTTAGAGGACGAGAGGCCTGTCTGGCCTTGAGGTAATGCTTTTCCCTTCTCAGATCCTTTTTCCCTAAGATTGTCACCAAAACACGTTGTTTTTAGGACAAAGAAGGAGAGACTAGACAAAGCTCAAACAGGGGCAGAGAGTTCCCTTGCTGCTGGGCAGCAGGATCACTGCCAGCAGTGGGTGCTCTGCCGCAGGGCGGTTTGACCGTGCCAGAGAGGCCACTGCACAGGAGTGCTCTGTTAAAGTAAAACCTCCTACCTAGGTCCCCTCCTCTTCCTCTGCCTTTCCTACAACAGCAAACTGGGGTTTAAAGGCTGTTTAACTCGCTCTTGGCTGTGACTCTTTTGGTAAGGGGTTTACGGAAAACCTGCATATGGTTTATTTGCATTTCTGGGCCTTACTGGAAATGAAATCAAATGCCAGCTTCAAAGGGAGTTGCTTGGTGTTCATTATTACTCGATACCGCCTCCCTGCCTGCCTCATCTCCTCCATCTGCCGTGTCGGGACCGCAGCACCCACTGCTGCATCCATTTGGAGGTTTTATGAACAAGTACGTGGGCAGAAGAGGCTCCTTCCCATACCCGTGCGTGGCACTGGGGTTTCTCCTGCCTGTGGCATGCAATGTACAGCAGTCCTGGGTGTGTGTTGTCTCCCCGGTGCTTTACAACATGGTGCGCAGCCTGTGCTTCCCTGGGGCGCGGTGGTCCTCCCCAGGTGCTCTGGAGAGCACCTCCTGCGCATGGGTCTTGGGCAAGGGTTTCTTGGAGCTGTTTTGCCATATTGTGTCCACCATGGATGTGACAGTAGTGTAACATCTTCCTGCCAACACCTTTCTTAAAGATTCATGGCCGGGAGCAGAAAGAGTCAGGAACAGAAGCCTGTATTTTTCGTTGGTGACACGTCGCTTTAAAGCTCAGCAGTACTTGGGACCATCTGTGCTCCTCAGTTCCTCCTGCTAAACAAAAATCCCAGGCTGAGGAACATGAGAAATTGCCTTGCAGTAGTAGTGAGTCGGCAGAGGCTGTGGGCTGTGGCAGAGCCAGAACTCCTGCTTGAAAAAACGGAGTGTTTTAGTAACTGGGAGCAAGACTCTGACTGTGAAGCTGGCTCGCTTCACCCTGCTGCCTCCAAATGCTTGAGAACTGCTGAGTCAGCGCTGTGCGCTGGAGTTGGTGGTGTGCCTTGGCTGCGCCTCAGGACAGCAGAGCACATGTGTTTCATTGAACCTCTTTGATCCTTTCTTTTCAGTTTATTCACAGAGCAAATGTCCCCATTACCTTTCCTTCGGCTTTTGTGACTGGCTGCTACAGCAGTGCCATCCTCTTCCTCAGCTTCCTACTGACTTTGGAGAGCAGAAGAGGATTGCCTGACCACGTGGCCCTTAACTCCGTTTTCCCGTCTCTTTGCTGGAGAATCCCCAGCAGTTTCAGCAGGTCTGATGCTAACACTCAAGTTTTGCTTTCTGTGTTCAGAGCACTAGTGTTCTTGCTCCTGACAGCTACAGGGACTGTCCTCTGGCTCTTACGTGCCCAGCTGAAGAGGAGCCACTTTGCTGAGGGCCAAAAAACTCTGGCATTTTTCTAAAAGTGCCTGGGCTCCAGTTTCTGCTCTAGGGAGAAGAAGGAGCATTTTTCAGTCAGTTCGATTTCCTGAACCAGTGCACCCGGGGGCCGGTGCTATGCCCTTTGGGCCGTGACACCTTCAGGCAGGGTCTGATCAAGGAACCCTTTCTGACAACTGATCTCCAACCATCATGTCGGGAAGCCTCAGGAGGAGGAGGTAACTGCACAAAATCCCCAGCCTGCAGATGTTTTTCCAAAGTGAGTGTTCGAGCTACTGTTCTTCCTAGTTGCATGGGTTTGCAAACTTTAATGAATCCCTGGTAAGGGATTTATTTAGCTCAAAAAAGAAAAAACCCAAACTGTCAGGAAATGCCCCATTAATGCACTGGAGATAGAATCAGGCTGGAAAACTCCAGGCTGGACTGTAACAGCACAGCCCGTGATGTAAAACCCATGTGTTCACCAGGCCAGAAGCCAGGAGCCCCAGGCTCTAATCCCAGTGCTGAGCTCCCCAGCTTGGCTAATAAAACTACAGGAAGCGGGGGTGGGGAGAGGCTTTGTTTAAATTTCCCCATGTTTTCCTGGGCAGGCTCCTTTTACCATAGGCATTAACAGTTTCAGAGTCGCTAGGTTACTTGGGGCTTCCACATGAAAGGTCTTCTCAAACACGTGGCAGCCCCAGCCTTTCTGGGTCTCCCCGCTTGGCAACAGCCATGGGGCGATACGCCGACACTGCCTGCAGGGCTGGGAGCAACACCGAGTGCCCAGCTAGCAATAGGGAAAGCTCTGGGAGAAGGCACTGTAAGGCACACAAGGCAGCACGCAGGTGAGAAGCCTCTGGAAGTGCAAGTGCTCACGTGCACCTCCTTGGGTCTGAAACACTATGGTTCAAAATAGCAGTGTGCGTGTGATGGGAGTTGCCCTTATTTTCAGTTATTCACAAGAGTGTTGCAGCTTTTCCACCCTTGACTCTTCCCTATACCTACCTCCTGTAAGGAACAGGGGCACACCAGTTGCTAGACGGTGTGTCCATTTTCAGAAAGGCCATCAACTACAAGATGCACAGAAAAAAGGGGCTGGGCTGCTTTTGGTGGAATGAGTTTGTTTCTGTGGTTTTATTTTTCCTGCTGGGATTAAGAAAAGCTCTTGCTCAACAAGAAGGCATTTGTTAGAGGCACACCTGTCCTTCATTAGTGGCTAAAAACAGTTCATAGCTCTTTTGGGGCTGATAATACTAAGACCTTTGGACACATAAGATAAAGAAAAGCTGATCTCTTAAGAGAACTAAGAAGTAGGTTCAAAACAGGAATACATTTCTGGAGCCAGTTGCTAGGAAGAAACTGGGAGTTTCATCTCGGGAGCAGGGAACTAGAACGCCAGCTACAGACACAGACTCAGCAGCTGGGCTATTTTTGGCTTGTGAACCTTCTAACGGCTGTTTATTTTTAAGGTCATTTTCTGTTTGTGTAGCATGTACACCCTTCTGGTGGGTGGGAAGCATTATAAAAACAATCGCTGCTGTGCCGAGTTATGAACTAAGCTTGGAGGGGGATGGGATAAACAGAACTCTGTGTACTTACTGCTTTAAAACCCAAAAACATCTGCTTAGGTCATAAGGTTTGTTGACCCACTCTAAGCTGTGCCCCCACCGAAAAAATACCGTTTCAGTTAATACAGATTACTGCAGGGGATTGCAAAAGACTTGGGAAAACTTGGTCAGATGGTAACATGGTATAAATAGAAAGGAAGCATCAGATTTGGCAATTTTTTTCACTCATGCTTACCTTCAAGCAGTAAATAGAAACCCAGAGCATCCACCCCACAGCTGAGGAGTCAGAACTCATGCTGGCCAGCTGGGCCTGAATCCCAGCTCTTGTTTAAGACTTGTTAAATAACAACATGCTTTATTGTCATATTTTCCTGGCTTCTTCCTGTTGGACGTATCTTTATTCACACATAGTCAAGTGATACAAATTCATTGGAAACAGTGGCAGTTTACAAAAGACAGTAAGAATGATTACTTCGAACTGAAACTTAAAAAAACCTGAAGTCTGGCAGGCAATGCACTGTTTGGAACAGGTCATGGTAAGGCAACAGTTTGTAACATTGGCAGCATACTACCAGCCATGTTCCTTTTCCAGAGCATAAAATACACAATACAAAAATATACTAGAAGTAATAACGGATAGAAATGTCTGCTGCAAAACAATTGCTGTTGTCTGATTTTCAGTATATTTACTCCCATGCTACATTATGATAGAATACTTGAATAAACAAGGTTTATTGCTAACAATTTGAACTTTGAAGTTGATCTCAAGTTAACTCCAATCCTGAAAGTACATAAAGGATCTTAACTTTGGACTCGTGTGACTGACAGACATGAGACAAGCCCACAAGTGAGCATTCAATGCCTTGGCTCCTGCTCAGGAGGGAAGGTGAAATGCTGTATACTTCACAGGATCTTAATTTGGAGCATTTTCCTGGATTTTTCAAGACTTTTAACAAGTCCTCCCTGGGTTATCCTTTACCTGACTGGCTTGAGTTCATCAAGTTGCTGGTAATCTGGTGGAAGTGCCTGTTTTTGAGATCTGGGGCTCTGCACTTAAGTTAAATCAACTTGCAGTGAGTCTCTCCCTCCTTACCTCATGCCTCCGTATAATTTTACCTGACCCTTTCCCCTCCCCTTCTTCCCTCCTTGCTCAGTACCACCAAAATGGCCTCTTTCCATGGGAGAGAGCCAAGTGCTCTGGTGCTTTGCTAAGGCTGCTCACACCTGCAATTGGAGCACCATCTTCTTAGTGTTTCCAAAGTTGAGAGACCCGGGTGTAGAAACGGAAGCCTGTGACAACCTTACTGTGCAGGGATGAGCAGCTATCCCCTCAGGCTGCCATGCTTGCAGTGAGAATCTGTGACGTAGATGCAATGCTCATGAAAAACGCCATCCAGAGTGCCCCTCACCACAACAGAGGAACACACCACTAGCAGGCAGCACGTTCAAGTCCAGGATTTCTTGCTGCTTTTTCTCCCAAGAGCTGATCTCAAAGCATTTAAGAAAAGAAGTTAGTATTGCTCTGTTTTTGCAGATGAGAAGACTAAGGCACTGAAGGGTGAGCTCATTTGGCCAAGGCTGACCTGGAAGTCTCTCTGCCCCAGACTGTGCTCTTCACTGAGCTGTTGCTTTCTGCACTCATGTCATATGAGACATGTTCTCAGAAGGGTAACCCCAACTCTGCTCCCCACGGAGCCACCACACACAGGGGCCAAGATTCACCTTCCTAGGCATGGCCTCCAGAGAAGACATTGAGAAGGACATGCACTGGAGGCCAGAAGCTGGATTCCCAATGCCAGTGACTCCCAAGGAGGTCAGCTATGGAAAGATGACCAGGATACTTCTGAGGTATAAAACTCTGTGTCTGCTGGCCACTGGTCAGCTTTGTCATCATCAGACTTGTCGCTGTCATCGCCACTGGAGGGTTCGTAGCCTGGAATGGCAGAGCAGATCGGCTCTGGCTGCCTACGATCTGCCTCCGCCTCCTTCTTCTTTTCTGCCAGCAGCTGCCTGTAGCACAGGTTGCAGACCCTCAGGGGCTTGGGGGACAGCCGGGGCATCAGGAACCTCTGCCTGGAGCAGTCTGCGCAGACGACAAAGCCGCACTTGCGGCAGTGGTGCCTTCGGGTGAGCGTGGAGAACTTGGTCTGCGTGCAGCGCATGCAGATGTCCGTCGCCTTGTCTGGGATCCAGGGGGCCGCGTGCTCGGTGGAGGGCTGCCGGCCCGTCTTCGTCAGCAGGTGCCTGATGCACTCCTCCAGATGGCTGATCCACTCCTTCCTCTCTGTGAGGGAGGCCGCGGAAACCACAAAGGACTTCTTGGAGGTTTTGATCATCCAGCGGTTCTTCATCTGCAAGGTGTCTGGCAGTGTCTCCAAAGTGACATCTTCAAGGGGAATGATGTGCTGGGAATTGTACTTCCTTTTGTTGATGACTATGCTGCCATAGACAAGGATGTCGTTGAAAAGGAAGAATATGCGAGGCTTTGGTTTCTTGCGGCATTCTTTGGTTAAAATCCCTTCTCCTAGAAGGACCCTTCCTGGCACGGCTAAGGGTTGTCCGGAAGCCCCAAAGCAGTTTTCCACAGCAGCAATGCGCTGGCTGTTGATCTCAGTGTTTGCAAGATGGTCCACCATCTCCAGCTCGCTCTGAAGAGAGGAAAATAGAGAGGGAAGTGGTAAAGCTGCAAACACTTGCACCAGGGTGAGGCCGAGCAGCGAACGTATGCACAGGTGAGATGCTCCTAATGTAACCTGAGGTTACATCTTGTTACCACTCTTCACTTTAGTTTGTTACCTTTTTAAATTAATTTTTCAAACTTTTTGACTCCACTTTGCAACCGCCCTATCTATACTGGGATAGTTCAATTTGCAGCAATGAAGCTCTGAAAAGACAGAGCGAGCTCTTCCATTACAACTATGCTTTTTACCAGTATAACTGCATGACTGTAGTAAAGGCAGCCAGATGGTCTGAACCCATTCTCATGCCGGTACAGTTACTCACTCAGGAGTTACTCTACTGTGACAGCTGAAGGGTGCCAGGACCCCTTTCTGTCCCTCTCCATGCTGGGAGCTAACTGATGGTAGGCTGGATGCAGGCTCAGGGAGGAGATCTGTGGTCTTGGGAGCAAACCTCCCATTTCTAGACTGCATATCCATTTTCTCGAGGATTAGCTACAGACACCGCCTCCCCGCCCCCGAATGCCATTTTGGACCAGAGCTGAGGCAGGAACAAAACAGAGTGTGGGATCATCTGTTCCTGCTGGTCCTCCCTGTGTGACAAAAAGGTGAAAAAAAAAAAAGGGGGGGGGGTGGGGGAAGCACCTGCTACATGAATGAACCCACACAAGCCAAGCCCTTCCTCCATTACCCCAGCTGCACTGGGGCTGCCGGTGCTTCCAGTTACAAGGCACACCATTCTGAAAATAGCCTGATCTCTGCTGAAGGGGAAGTGGAAGGCAGCACGCTCATCCCTCCCCACACCTCCATGCCCTCCTTCTCATACAAACGGGGGTTTCGATAGTCTGTTGGGGTTTTTTTTAATAGGAAAACCTAGATAAGGATAACTCTGAAGCGAAAGCAAATGTTTGCTATTGGTACTTTGCAGTAAGGAAAGTGCTCTACAAGTTCAATTTGATGTTGCACCTAACCCCTCCTGTGCTGAAGGGTGCTGCCTGAGGCCAGCTGGCCACAGGACCATGAGTCATTTCCTCCTCCAGTGAGGTAGCTCAGCCATCACGAGGCGGCTCCAAGATCACAGGGATGTGTGTCGCCCTAGTTGCTCGGGTTCATCGAATCATGAATACAGAGCCACTCTCCACCATCTTCCCTGTCCTCCTTGTCCAGAGTCCCTGTAGCCATGGAGGCTGGAGGGGAAAGAGGAGAGGAGAACATGCCTGGTCTTGTGTTTTTGGGGCAATGATGATTTACATTCTTCCCTTGCCCTTCACCCCAAATCACCCCTTTGGTATGCTAGAAGGGAAACCACGGAGCCACTGCTCCAAGCTGCTGTGTGCTGTTTATGCCTCGCCTGAACTATTTGACAAAAACTGGTCAATTCTTCTGAGTCCGCACAATTTTCTTCTCTAGAGCAGGCCAGGGTGTCCTGCACAAAGTTAAGGCACAGGTTTAGCCCCGGGGGACCTGAAGGAAGCAACCTACCCTGCAGAAATAGCTTTCTCTGAGACGTGTTGTGTGGCCAGTGGTCCTGAAGAGCTGCCTTCTTCAGGGTCTCCCTCAAATTACAGGGAGGGTCCCAAGGCCTCCAACTTCCTTCTAGAAGGATGTGTATCTTCAGGGCCTCAAAGCACCAGAACAGATTTGATGGCATTGGACAGCATCAAGCTATCCACTCACAGATGTGTTCTCCAAAGCGGATGGCAATTTACAATCAACTGCAATGCTCCGATCAGGGGCCGTGCTGCAGCCAGATGAGGTGTGATGCCATGAGCAGTGGCTGAGGTAATGACCCAACCAACCTGCCATTTCAGTACGGACGCGCAGAAGTTGTGTGAAGGGTTTTATTACTTGATGTCAGGAGAGGAGAAAGGCTCTGTTTCCCTTCTTGATCTGACTGCCCAAGTGGACCTGCGCACTGAAGGAGCTGCTCTGCTGCAGGACATACATTCAAATCTATTCTGAATTACCACAATGCAGAATGTGTTTTTTCTCCCTCTTAAAGACACAAACGGTGGTGTTGGGTTGATGGTCGGACTTGATGATCTTAGAGGTCTTTTCCAACTTTAATGATTCTGTGATTCTGTGATATTATGCTGGAGAACAAACAGGCAGGGAAAACTACAGTCCACAACTGAACACCACACTCCCTGTCTTTGAATACCCCCAGTCTTACCACCCTGGGATGTGGACTCTTGGGGGTTTCTTACAAACAAATCCTTCAATGAGGAGCTCTTGAGTGAAAAAGCAAGATAAGCACACAGAATAATAAAAGAAAAACTGAAATTACAGCTTGGGAAGTTTGGTGTGGAAAAACTGCAAAAGCAACAAAATACTGTAAAGAATTTTTGGCACCAGCAACACCAAGTGGGATAAACCAAGCAGTTAACTCTGCTCCCACCAGTCTCGCTTCCTTGTGTTTCTGGGTTATGGAGCCCCAGCTCTTAGCCTGCATCTCTTACTTTTATTTTATATATTTTAAAAGCATGGTCCAATCTCTCCAGCAAATACGGTACTTGACACAACTCTATTTCTGGGGATCTCTATGTACTGGAAATGAAAACATTTTGTCAGATATAAAGACAGTGCCTGCAAAGAGCCAGGAAACAAAGCTCATTGTCAAAGAGCAGTGCAAGCCCTGCTACCATGAAAGTTTTAGCTGTTGTATTATTTTGGGCCCCTAGATAAGCCAGAGTGCCCTCAGACTTGCTGTATGAAGCAAAGGGAGAAGGGGCTGGACAGCAGATGGACACAATCCTGCAATGTGAAAGAAATGAAAGTGAGCTCTTACCACATCACACTTACACCTGCAGGGTATGTCCTTATTCCTCCAGCCTCAGGTTTGTTACCTACTTAGAATGCCACGAGTTAACCAAAGAAAAGCTAACTCTGTTCTGGGAAAATCTTCCCTGCTAAGACTAAAAGTGTCAGCTGCTGCTCTAGCCCAGGGTATTTCCCAAAGGAGTTTTCCCAGGGAAGCAAAAAAAGAGTGTTTTTCCTCCATCTCTCTCCCCTCAGGCATAAATGACTGGAGCGCAGCACATACACATACTAAGCAGTTAAAAAAGCAGAAGGGGTGGATTCACATTGCCTACTTTTAGAGTTGAACGACTAACTCCATACCCTTTTCAGTCAAGGGAGGAGAAACAGCCATCTGCAGAGGGTGACTTGCCTCAGCCTACAACACACAAGATCAGTCCTGCCCCGCATTCTAGATAGCGCTCAGCTTGAGTAACTGCATACAAACCGATTTCATGTTTATATTGTGACTCACTGCAAATAATACTCAGTTTGGCTTTGGAATGGAAGTATTATGTGAATTTGGTAAATACATATAGCTGCTGAGTGTTATTATGATCTCTCTTACTGAGGGAACTGTTTGGAACAACAGTGATGTGATACAAAAATGAGGATATAAATTCTAATCTATCTGATTCATTTTAGTAAGTATTTTTTTTCCTGTTTGTTCAAGGTTGTCCTGCCAGGTCAGCAGGGTCACAGTATGCACACACAGCATGTGCGGCAGAAGCTTACACAGATGAAATGAGGGTGGGAAGATGTACTTTACTAGCGTGCTACTTTTCATGGGAGTTTCTGACATGGAAAAGTTTGGGGTTGGTTTTTTCCATCAAGATCTGTTGGTTCTGCATGTCATCAAATATTATGCAGTCAATATATAATTCAGTGAATACGACTGATATTCAAAGGAAAAAAAATACTATTCGGCACTCCACTCCAGAAGCAAGCAAACCATGTCTTTTAAAAATGACTGCTTGTTCACTTGTGATTACAGCCAGCCATGTTGATGCACACCAGGCAGAGCATTTCAACTTAAGCTCCTGTGTCAGCAAGCCTGGGGTATCTTTTTCAAGTCTGTATGTATCTAAGGCTTAGGTGCAGCAATGTAGTGAGCTGTTCTACCTGATTCTTCCATTCTTGCTGTCAAACAGAACCAACAGTCTTGGTATGCACTGCATATGTCATGCATACCACATGGAAGGGATGGTCCATGATCTGACTGCTGGGCTTTGCCAGCAGAAAATGCCCTTGAGCCTCATCTCTCTACAGCTCTCTCGTACTCCCTCTTTCTGCTTTGCTCAGCTGAGAAATCTCTCCTGGAGTTAGGGCTGGCATAAGCTCTTCCTCTCCAAAGCATGGTAAGCAGGACGCAGCCACCTCTTATCCTGGGCAGGCATTTAGAGCAAGAAAAACATAGCTCCTCTCCTTTTCCTGCCTGGAGGTATTTCAGCTTGCCTCTCCCTCCTTCCCAGCATGCTGTAACTGCTGGGCCACTGGGGGAGAAGGGGGCAGGCTCTGGCAACCCCCTTCCAGCCATGCCCATGGGGAACATGATTTGGAACATGTACGTTTCGGGAATGACAGTCACATTAGGCATTTGGTAGAAAAATGCCACCAGTTCCTGTGGGATATGGACTAGCTGAGTTACTGAACTGCTTGCTGCTGTTGCTCAGCATGGCCAGGACTTCTGGCATGTAGGGCCAGAGCGAGAAGACAGCTGAGTGGTGGCTTTTGAGGAGCTCAGACTGACACTACCAAAACCAGCAGTTGGTAGCCTGAGCTCAGCTGTGGCTCTTGCACATGCCACCCAGGCTCAGAGGCATCCAAGCAGCGTTGTATGGAAAGAAGGAAAACCTGAAAACCAAGAAGAGCCTCTCCCCTGCTCTCTGTCTCAGCACACGTCCTCAGGCAGCGCAGCAGGCACTCCACGTGCACCCCCTGCTCCCCACTCTGCCGCTCATCAGCGCCAACCTGGTGAGCAGCCATAAGGAAGAGACCTCCACAAGGAGCTCAGGCCACCCCTGAGCGGCTCAGGCCGGACAAGTGCTAGCAACAAATGACATGCAGAGGCTTTCTGCTGAGGGTGGGTCATCACCAAGGGAAGAGGCGAGTTCTCCGGCTCTCCCAATGCCTGAAAGCCCACGTTGTATCTTTTAGAAGGT